AGAGGGGGGGGGGATGAACAAAAAACTGCCTGTTTTTCACAAAAACGGGCCCATTTTTTGTCAAATAAAAGGGCATGGGTAGCCTTTAGGCGGCTTATAGAGTGCTCCTGGGGCTGGGGGGGGGCAAAACGAGCAAACAATGGCCCGTTTTTTGCTAATTTCTGTCCTCCCCAGCCCCCAGAGTACTCTGAAAGCCTCCTAAAAGCTATGCACGGCCATTTTGGTAAAGGGACAGGGATTCGGGAGGCAAAAAATGCTCTATTCAGTGTATAAGACGCACCCAGATTTCCAGCTTCTTTTTTGAGGGAAAAATGTGTCTTATACTCCGAAAAATATGGTACATCTTTGTTTCTGTGCCCTCCTACCTCTACTCAACATAAATTCTTGAGTCCCCACTTTACTAACATAGTTCCCATTTGACTAGTGAAGTTAGCTTTAGTCTTGTATTTTACAAGATTGGTTTGTTTCAGTCTCTGTCATTTGCATTGATCTTTATTTTGCTGCTTTCATTTAGGATGTTGTATTGGAGCTGGAGTTTGAGGATGTGAAGGAGAAATTTTCAATGGTCCAGGTCTGGCCTGTACGTCAGATCCGTCCTGTCACAGAAAAGTTACCTGCAAATCACCCTCTTTTAACTGGTCAGAGAGTCCTTGATGCACTGTTTCCGTAAGTGCCCGTTGTTTCTGTCTGCTTTTTTTGTTGAAAGTGATCATTTGTGCTCTTTATTTTTCATGAATCACACTTATTTTATAACACAACGTGATTTCTTCTCAGACTGAAAGCTCACCAAGTAAGCCATTTCTCAGAGCCATTTCTGATTTCCAGGCTGCCTCACACTGTAGTTGCAGTGAAAAAAGGGAGCACGACTAATGAGGCAGGAAAAACAATGAGCAAGCCAAAAATAAACATGCATATTCTTTCAGCATAGAAATATGAAGCAAATTCCCACTGTAAAATTGGCATCTTGGTAAATTTTAGTTTCAAATAAAACATTGACTTTTAGAGAAAAGAGTGACTTTATGTTTTAAATGGAGTGTATTTCTTTCTTTTTCCCCCCAGACCAATACAGAAACTAGAGCAAAGAATTTTCTGGGTTTTTTTCTCTCTCAAGTATTCAGTTGATATGTGAAATCTTTTATAAATTTATAAATAGCAATAGTACTTAGACTTTTATATTGCTTCATAGTGCTTTACAGCACCCTCTGAATTGTTTACAAATGTAGCATTTTGCCCCCAACAAAATCCGAGTCCTCATTTTACCGACTTTGGAAAGATAAGAACTTCTTAAACACATATACATACATATAGAAAGATGTAATGCTTCTTTTATTCAATATCTTATTTGCAGAGCAGTAATAAATTTCAATTTTCTGGAACTCCCCTATCCAGAAGTAAGGGTTCCAACTTTCTTCTGAACCCAAACAAAAGGAATTTAGGAATGAGTTCTTCAAGGTTAAGCTCCTTACGTTGACAAAGATAGAATTTGCTCACTTTTTATAGGCCCAGGTTATTTATCTTCTAT